AAATAGTATTGATAGTTATTTAGGCCCTACTATTCAATCCTGGAGCCGAGGGTCCCTGCAATTTGGGGTCTGCATCCGGGTGAGGAAGGGAGAGAACGCTCCATTCAACTAAGTGCCATTAACCCTCAACCCTAAACCCCTAAACCCCTAAACCCCTAAACCCCTAAACCCCTAAACCCTAAACCCCTAAACCCTAAACCCCTAAACCCTAAATCTAAACCCTAGACCCCTAACCTAAGTCCGATTGATTGATGCCTTGACTCTTTCCACCAGGCCAAACCATGCATCCGAACTTCCCAGCTTCCAACCTTACCTCCCCAGATTCGCTCTAAATAGGGTTTAGGGTTTAGGGGTTTAGGGGTTTAGGGGTTTAGGGTTTAGGGGTTTAGGGTTTGGGTTTAGGGGTAAACCCTAAACCCTACTTTCTGGCCCTCCTTTACTTCTTCGGGCGAGATCTTGCCGTCGCCGTTGTCGTCCCGCAAGGCATAGATCTTGCCATCCTGCTAGGAGGATCATGGGACCGAGTAATGTAGAGGCCTGAATAATTTGAATAGGGTTTGGGTGTATAGCTATACTACAATATATAGAATAAGGAACCCCCAAAATAGTACAGGTAGTCATTTTAACTAGGTTGCTACCATGTTTACAACCCTAAGAGCCCTCTAAGTTCGCTGACCCCTAAAGCCCTCAACCCTAAACTTCAACTTAGAGTTTTGTGGCTGTGGACAGAGACCTCTGGCTGAGGATCTCAGCTGAGGCTTAAGGGCGAGGGTGTTTAGGCTTTCGGGATCTCGGATTTCCAGGGTGCTGCTCCGTTTTTTGAACTTGGCGTTAAGGGATGCTCATCTTTTTGGGGGGTTCGCTGCAGGGTTTTGGGCTTTCGGGGTTTAGGGTTTAGGGCTCTACGGCTTTACAGTCGCCCGAGCTCCCCGAATCTAGCAGACCGACCCCTGTTCCCTGAAACCCTAAGCTCTCCAACCCAAATCATAGCATACCTAATTTAGGGTTTGGGGGTTACGGGTTTAGGGTTAGGTACGCGTACCTAATTTCGGGTTTAGGGTTAAGGGTTTAGGTAGAACATACCTAATTTAGGGTTTAGGCTTAGGGTAAGGGTTTAGGCTTGTACTACATCATACGGCAAAAGCCTATTCTAAGTACTCAGGCCCCTCAATTTCAATTAGAACCCTTCCAATACTTGTTATGGTACCCGCAACAGAACCCTTAAACTAAACGGAAAACTTACAAGGAACCCTAATGTAGGGGCCTTAATAATTAGAACAGGGTTTTGGGGGTGCCTGATTATAGTTTATAGTACAATAGATCCTCAAACCCCATTCTAATCAGGTTCTCCGGT